ACAAATTACCGGAAAGATGGGATAAATGTGTAGCTAGCGATGGACATTACTGTGAATAAAGCACTTCTGATGTTTCTCTTGAAATTATCGTGTTTTCTTTGATTACAAAATCTGCATTATTAACCGGTACACCTAGTACTATATTCCCTATGTTGTACTTTACAGTACATGCCCATGACTACACTATAACTACTAATTTGTACTTCTAAATCCCTTCACCTTTTTCACCCATCCCCATAGCCCCTCTTCCATCTGGCAACCATCAAAATGTTCTCTGTATGTATGAGTCTGTTTCTGTTCTTCTTGTTTATTTACTTTATTAGATTCAATTGTTGATAGACATGTATTCATTGCCATTTTATTGTTCATATTTTTAATCTTTTCTTCTTCTTCTTAAAGAAGACTCTTTAACATTTCATGTAATACTAGTTTGGTGGTGATGAAATCCTTTAGCTTTTTCTTGTCTGGGAAGCTCTTTATCTGACCTTCAATTCTAAATGATAGCTTTGCTGGGTAAGGTAATATTGGTTGTAAGTCCATGCTATTCATCACTTTTGAGTATTTCTTGCCACTCCCTTCTGGCTTGCAGTTTCTGTTGAGAAATCAACTGACAGTCATATGGGCACTCCCTTGTAGATAACTTTTTTTTCCTCTTTCTCCTTTTAAGATTCTTTGTCTTTAACCTTTGGCATTTTAATTAGGATGTGTCTTGGTGTGGGCCTCTTTGGGTTCATCTTGTTTGGACCACTCTGTGCTTCCGGACTTGCATGTCTATTTCTTTCACCAGGTAAGAGAAGTTTTCTGTCATTTTTTTCAAATACGTTTTCAATTCCTTGCTCCCTCTCTTCTTCTGGCACTCCATGATGCAAATGTTGGTAAGCTTGAAATTTTCCCAGAGGTTCCTTACACTATCTTCATATTTTTGGATCCTTTTTTCTTTTTGCTCTTCTGATTGGGTGTTTTTTGCTTCCTTATATTCCAAATTCTTTATTTTATGCTTCGCTTCATCTACTCTACTGTTGTTCCCCTGTAAATTATTATTTCAGTCAGTATATGCTTAATTTTTTTTCTTTTAATCTTTATTATTGATATTACATAGGTCCTCCTTTTCCCCCCCATTAACCTCTTCCAGCCCACTCC